CACATCACTCCCATCTCTGCCTCCAGGGTCACATTGCCTTTTCTTCTCACTGTATCAATCTCCCTCTGCATCTCGTTCATAGGATTCCTAAACTGCTTTTAGGGATCACTCAGATAGTCTAGAATAATCTCCCTGCTCAAGGTCCTTACCTTAATCACACCTTAAGTCCAAATACTTTAACATTTCCATGCTCCAGGGATTAGGACCTTGTAGTTATTATTCAACCTACCACATTACACTTTATTTTTATCAGAAAAAAAATACACCATTCATTTTAGGAAAAAAAATCAGTTTTGTTCAGATCAATTAAGCTAAAATTCTTACACCCAAAGTAGAAAAAATTGCTGATTTGGAGTTTTTAGGGAAAGTACTATAATTACATATTTATATTGAAATAATTTCTTTATGTATCAGTTTCGCTCATTAAATGTAAGCTTCCTGAGGACACAAACTATTTTATTAGTTAGTGTGTTTCTTTTCCTTGTACTTCAGCTACTGGAAAACATGGTAACTATTACTTAGTAAATGTTTGCTGGTAGGTTGCTGTTGACCTGCACACATCATCTAAATGAAGAGGCAAACAACTAGTGCCTGAGCTTAAGATCATTGCAAAGGGGCCAATGACCACTTTTTACACTGAAAGTTCCATATCAGCAGAAATCCTTCAACAGGCAAACCAGGATGATTGGTCACCCAGCCAGGAGCCCAAAGTCCAGGGAAGCTACCTCAGCAAGGCTGTACTCATCTTGGTGGAAAGTGGTCCTAAGATGATACTATCCTGGAAGTGTGGCCCAAATGTAGCTGCTTGGTGCTTTCAAGCACAATGCAAAATATTAATGTAATCATTTATTTTATTCAAAAAATGTTTATTGCTCACCTACTATATACAACTGGCAGGCATAGTTCTAGGGGCTGGAGATTTAATGGTGAGAAAGACAGATACTATTTTTGCTTTAGTGAAACTTACATTTTAATGACGAAGAAAGATGATAAACACATGTAGGGTATAGAGTTATAATGAGAATTATTGATAAGTAAAATGAAGAAAAATAACACGGTGTGGGGGAAAGGACAGTATTTTAGGATAATCAGAGGTCTGTCTATGAGGTGACATTTGAACAGAGACAATGAAGCAAGGGAACAGATTGCGCAGGTATCTGGGGGAAGAGGGTGGCAAGAAGAATCAGCAGGTGCAAAGGCCCTTGGCTTGGTCCATGCCAAGCTTGAGGGAACATGCAGGGCCAGTGTGGGCCAGCACTTAGCCAGCAAAGTGAAGGTGATGGGAGACTCAGAAGAGAAACTCACAGATGGCCAGATCACTTGCTTGCTTCCACAGGTATGCCAAAGTCACATGCAAAAGACCCATGAAGGACATACAGTAGTTACCTCTGGAGACCCTCAGTCTTTCCTCTATTTATCTTTTCGGATATTTTGTTTTGTTTTTATCATGCACATGAATCTCCTTTTTAAAAAAATCTAATAATTTAAAACAATAAAGAGGATTTATAACAATTTTTAAATAATTAATTAAACTTGAAGTTGCAGCTAGGTACAGCAGGAAGGGAGAGCTCCTGGTTGGTTGTGTTGAGTCACCATAGATAGCAATAGGGCTCTCCAGGCAGCAGAGCTGTGGTAGCAGTGGTAGCTTTGGGGAAAGAGAACCCCTGAGTAAGGGCCCTACCACCAGGACCAGATCCCAGCCTTTTCCCAAGTCCTCAAAGAGCAGGAAGCTGGTCTTGTTAAAACCTATTGGGAAAGAACTAATAGATTCAGTTAAGATTTAGCCTTTAGCCAGATTGACCTGGCTAATGTGGAGTGAAGTTCTCTCTTTTGGAAGACTGAGGGGGTTGAATTCAGGGGTGCTTTATCACTGAGCTACCTCCCAACCCTTTTTATTTTGAGACAGAGTCTCACTAAATTGCTGAGGCTGGAGAACTTGTGGTCTTCCTTCCTCAGCCTCCCCAGTAGCTGGGATTATGGGCAGTACCACCTTGCCAGGCCTGAATGAAGTTCTCCTACAGGCAAAAAAAAAAAAAAAGAAGAAGAAGAAGGTCAGAATTTCAACACCTCTTCCCTAATTTCAATGACAGTTGTGCCATCCTGACAGGGGAAAGTAAAGAAACTAAAAATCAATGTACAGTGACCTGACCCCTCCAGGAGAAAAACAAGGATCTAGAGAGCTTCTAGATAGGATTCGGGTGGAATGGGGAGAGGCTGAGAATGATGAAATAAGCACCAATCCCAAGTGAGACCTGCAGGCATTAGGGCAAGCCTGCGCTCCATCTTGGAGACTAAAGATGACTAACAGCTTCCTAAACATTAAAGGAACTTTCCATGAGGATTGATAACTTGACCTGCACCTTTATTCCCCAGACACATTTTTTTAAAGGGGAGTGGTGCAAAGCTTTGCAGAGCTCCATCCTGTCGGTGCAGAGGAAGGAGGCAGGCCTCCCAGCCCTCCCTGCAGGCACCACAGAACTAGGAAGGTCCACAGGCATTCGGCAGCCCCTCCCTTCCCTGAAGCTGCTCCCCTTTGCCCTGCCTGTGAGGTTCTCCCTAACTCTGGAGTTGGTCCACTCCACAATCCTATTTTCTGAGAAACAACTCCTAGGAAGAGAAAGGGAACTTCCTGGAGACCCCATCCTTGCCCCTGGCCCTCCATACTTCAGGTCTTTACAGAGCAAGGCCTGCAGCTGTAATCTCTCTTGGGCTGGCAGACCCAGCAGGAGGTTGGGACCCCTGAGACTGTTAATGCTCCTGGCCCCACATTTCTCCCCATCTCTGCTGAGGAAAAGAGAGCTCAAGTTTTCCCTGTAGAGAATTCTGACTGCCTTTTAAAATGGTGGGCTTCTGTATATATGTGTGACTTGAATTAAATAAAAAGGGTAAACTAGAAAAAACTTGGTGGACAAAGCCCTGACATGATGTCCCCATGTAAGTAAGGTTCACCTATAATGTGCCAAGCACTGTTCTGTAAATGGGGACTTACCACATTCCTGCATTTAGAGAGCTTTCCTTCTATCAGAAGAGACTGACTTACTGATAACCCCACTAGATAAGTACATTGGACTTAGTAGGAGAAAGTGAGAGGGTTGGGGGTGTCCTGGCTGAGACAGGACTCCTCTAAGTCAGGCTAGAACATAGAGGTGTGGCTCAGAATAGGGCACAGCAAACAGAGTAAGTAAAGTTAGTGCCTTCCACACTTAATGAGAAATGAGTGCCTAAAAACTACAGTTAGGAGTGTGAATATCAGCCAGGAAATGATAGCCAAAGACTGAATGGAGATAAATAATACATGAAAATAATTTGTTAGAATCTCAGTTTTGGTTATATTGCAGCAAACAGTTATTTATTAAATTAAAGAATGCATTTTATTATTATACCTGGCATTATATTTGTCTTAGCTTTTCACTGCTGTGACTAAAGGACCTGACCAGAATAATTGTAAGGGAGGAAAAAGTTTATTTGGGGGTTCACAGTTTCAGAGGTCTTAGCCCACAGAAAGCCGGCTCCATTCTTTGAAGCTCAAAGTAAGACTGAACATCATGGCAGGAGAGTGTGGTGGGGGGAAGCAGCTCACATCATGATCAGAAGGTAAAGAAAGATTTTTCTACTCTTTAGATAAAAAATATATACCCCCAAACCACACCCCCAAGTCCCACCTTCTCCAGCCACACCCCATTACTTCAGTGACCACTGTTAATCCCTCTCAGGGGATTAATTCACTGATTAGGTTAAGACTTATAACCCAGTCATTTATCCTCTGAACCTTCTTGCATTGTGTCACACATGAGCTTTGGGGGTAAACCTCACATCCAAACCACAACAGTATGCAAACATAAAACAAGTGTGTGACACCAAAAGGAAGTATTAGATTGCATCAGCCATATAGATGCCTGTGAATTCAAGATCAAGGTGGGGGTGGGGGTGGTTTGGTGGTATAGTGCTTGCCAAGCATGAGCCAGACCCTGGATTCAATCCCAGTGCTACAAAATAAATATGAAAATAAAAGATCAAGAGCCCCTTTTAAAGCACATATTGGTCTAGGTAGGGTTACTCAGACATTTACATATGAGGAAAAAAAAACATGGAATGGTAGCTGAAGAGTTGTACATTTTTAATATACATAAGTTACACATCAGTTAAAAAAAAAAGTGATTGCCATTGCCTTGGACTCAGGGAGCACACCCAGGCCTGCAGTTCATGAGCACTCACATTCTGCCCTGGAGAGGCCCTTGAGCCTGGGCACAGACTAGACAGATCCTCAGGACAGGGACACAGGGCTGGGATTAGGGGACTCTAGCCAGAACTTCCTGCCTGGTACAGCAACTCTGGCAGGTAAGAGATGAGCAAGGGCCGGCCTGTAAGCACACTGTTTTCATGCTATTACTGTCTCCCCTCCCCTGGGGCTGATGGAGGAGCAGAATACCCATGCAGAAAGTAACCAGAAAGCAAGTTGGGGCAAGGCCACCAGGTCTCAGGAACAAAGCTCTTATCCCTGCTGAGGAAGGCACATCTCTCCTGCTTCTTGGCTTCCAGGAGAGACAGCAGTTGAGGACTCAAGGTCATGGAATAGTGACAGGCTAGGTGTGGAGAGGCCTGTGCTCCTGTGGAGACAGCAGGCTCAATTTCTCACTCTCTCTGATCTCTCTGAATGCGAGTGAATCTCTGAAAGTCTGCTTGGATTCAAGGAGCACACCCAGTCCTGCAGATCCTTACACTTCCTTACCCACACACCAACAGCCATCTGAAGACACTCAGAGACCCAAACAGCCCACCCATTGCCAAGTGCATGCACTATGAGATGCTTCATTATGGGAACCCTCAGAAATTGTAGTTGGTTGGTTGGTTTCATAGAAAAGCATGCCCTTAGGAAGGGGGATCTGCCCTCTAAGCATGGTTTTGAGCCTGGAATCGGGGGATTGAGTAATAACAGCTCAGGCCAGTAGGTGTTCATGTTCCTGAGCACTCACTGGGTGACTTCATGTTCCTCTCCACAGGAGGCAGTGTCATATTGCCCAGAAGAAGGCCAACTGGCCAGAATCCAAAATATTATCCAGGAGCTTCCCCCATCCCATTATAGGTAAGAATCCTTGGAAAAAGAAATATGTAGACTCTTAGTGTGGTATAATGGTAGGGTGTCATGATAAATGGGAGCATGGCTCTCCTGGGGGCATTAGGAAATGAGTGATCAAATTGTGCTGGTACCAGACCAGGGTCACTGTAGTAAAGGGCAGCCTGTCTCCCAAGTCACTAGCAGGGCACTCATCAAGAGTCCCATGGGAAGTCATTCTGATCACAAAGTCAGTGACATCTTTGGTTCTCACCTAGATTTATAGCATGACCAGAAGATGGAAACCCAGATGGCTCTTCAGCAGGGATGACTGTGGCTCTGGAGCCCTAGGCTGACTGAGCTCTATACTGCTCATCAGTACTGGTCCTTACATCATCTCCCTCCTTTGGTTTCAGTCTCACAGCTTAGCCCTATTTTCACCCCCTTTCCCAGGGTTCCCCACCCCTGCCCATCTTATACAAGGGGGCAGATTTTGATGTGGTGTAAGAAAAAATTTCCTAGCAGTCACATGTTGTTCATCCATGAGATGAGTTTCCTAACAAGTACCAACTTATCTATACCTGGAAGAATTTTTAAAAGAGAGTGGGCTCTTCAGTGAGAACCTATTTAAAGACTGTGGGGAGGCTATCCTGAAGGGTCTTAGAAGAGCAAGTGGTCACCAAGCCTCCTCAGCCATGAGATCTGTGATTCCCTGGTTCTGTCTCTAACTAGTGCTCCGTGGGACTCAGCTGGCTTCTAAGACTGATCCCTGTCCCTACCCCAGGCCAAGGTGCCATGGCCCAGAAATTTACTTCCAACAAGCCTTCAGAATTCATAAGATGGGAGTAGAGTCTCTTAAATCCAAACTTAGAAATTATCACCAGATTTCAGGCTTCACACAGGCCCTGTGGTTTTGTGCTTTGTCAAAAAAAAAAATATATATATATATATATTACAGGACCTTGGAATACCTGATTCGACACCTGGCCCACATCGCCTCCTTCAGCAGCAAGACCAACATGCATGCCAGGAACCTGGCCCTGGTGTGGGCACCAAACCTCCTCAGGTAAACACCACACCCTCACCTTCACCCCACCCTGGTGGGCTCAGAGCCCACCAAAGCAAATGGAACCTGGATTCTTCAAAATTGAATCTCTTTGAAACAAACTGGTAGCTTAGTAATCTGTTATAGCCCATGCCAACGAAGGGTGATTTTAATCACCTAAACTGTTTGGCTGCTAACTTGGAAACTCTGGGTTCCAAAGGCATTTGTTAGATCGAGGTGTGGCTAAAGTTATAGATCTGTATGTTATAGTTTCTTGAAAAGGCCTTTGTTTTCTCTAGGTTCATTGGCTTTTTCTTGGCTTTGGTGGGGGTACAACTTGCTATAACTTGAATCAACTGCTTCATGTGACTTTGCAAAAGATGACCTGCTCCACGGGACTAATGGGTGGAGGTGGGAAGGGATCCCATATGTTTATGGGATAGTGTTTATAGTCTTGTAGCATATAATTCCAGATAACTGTTTTAAGTTTCAGTGGGTTGGGCTTTACAGCCTTTGGAAAGACCCTTTGATAGGTCTTAAGAGTTAAAATATTCTAAAAGTGATTTAGGAGATGATGCCTGTGTAAAAGGCCCACTGGCTCTCCTGACTGCTTCAGGTTGTAAGGCAGACTCAGTCAGTAAATATGTTTCTTCCACGGTTCAGGTCTAAAGAAATTGAGGCCACTGGTTGCAATGGAGATGCAGCTTTCCTTGCAGTCCGGGTCCAGCAAGTGGTGATTGAGTTTATATTGAATCATGTGGATCAAATCTTCAGCAACGATGCTCCTGCGTCTCTGGAGAATGATGGTAATGACTCCTCCTGGCATCTACCCCATCTATCCCACCAGCCTATCCTTTCTTGCCTTAGTTATGGGGCCCAATAATAAGTGAGGGTGAGCTTGGTTTTAGCCGTGTGTGTGTGTGTGTGTGTGTGCGTGCGCGCACGCACACACACACACACACACACACACTGGCCACTGCCTGTCATTGTCTGGCGATCCTGCATATATACATGTATAGGTGTGCAGTGAAAATATGGTGTGTTTGCCTGTGGCTTTAGCACGTTTTTGATTGGTTGAACACGTAACCTACCCCATGAATGTGGTGTGGTGGACTAGAACTAGAAAAACGTTCCATTGGTTTAGTGAGTTCTTAAACTCTTGGTCATCAAAAAAGGCACGGGCAACATTTTTCTCCTTGATGATTTACTTTCACTGTGATGTTTCTGAAGAACCATATGCCATTGCCTTGAAGTCTTAAGTGAATGAGTTAAGAGGCAGTAGGCTCACACCCACATGCATATTCAGAATGTATTTCCTGAGTGCTTCATTCATTTTACCTTGTACCAGGCAGTAAGCATACAAAACTGAATATGTGTGCTTATGGGCATCTCATGATACAATGAATGCTAGGAGTGAATTGGCTTATGCTGCTTAAACTCCTGCAAACCTAATTTGTAAAAACTGTAAATTCAGTTGATCAGAATTCCTGGTTTTCTTGATTTCTCATTTGTGAATGAAACTGGTTTTCCAGCATTGGTGTGCATCAGAGATACCTGATGGGCTTGTTAAAACATGGATTACTGGACCAGAGTTTCTAGTCCAATCACCTATAGTGCAACAGATAATGTACATTTCTAACAAGTTTCCAGGTGATGCTGACACTACTGGTCAGTGGTGTATGAGACCCATGTCTGCAAAATATTTGTTAACTGATTAAAATATTTTTCCCATTCAGTTAGTATATTTAGGGAAACCAGAATAATCTATTGCAATTGACTCAACTGAGAGAGTTTGGGTACCAATCTAGGTCTTCCTGGCTCCAAAAACCTGTTTTAGTATGTATAGGGCCTGTTTTGAACCATCAGTAAATGTTAGTTCCTTTCCTCCTCAGTCTTCACTGTTAACTTAATAGCTTTCGAAGGCTGCAGACAGAATATGATGTGCATAACATCCCAAGAAAAAACAGGGGCATTCTCCTCACGAGGCAATACATGCATGTCATCTAACAGAGACATCTAGGAAGTTAAATTTATGCAATGCTCCAGTTTTGTGGATCAGAATCCAATACCTTTATTTTATAGATGAGAATACTGAGGTCAGAGAGATTGTGATAGCTCCAAGATTTATTAAAAAATAGTGTGCACTGAGTACCACCTATATAGCAGGCAGTGTCCTAGACTCTGGGGACATATCAGTGCACAAAATAACAAAGTAGCTTCCTTGCACATAACTATGATCTGAGCAGCAAGACAGCAATATATCTTATAAATAAATATATTATCACTTTAAAAAAATAAAAAATAAATATATTATCACTTCAAAGAAAACAAGTAAGAGGAAAATAGATCACAGTAATGCAATGGTTAGTGACTTTGGGGTGTTATTTTGGCCGTAGCCTCTGATAAAGTGATCCTTGAACTGAAACCTGAATGATACGGGGAAATCAACCAAGTGAGGATCTAGGGGATAAATGTTCCAAAGAGAGAGAACAGAGAGGGGAAGGAGCACAAATTGCAAGCTCTGCTGTGAATTATGAAGTCAGATGGCTGTTACACATCTCAGCAGAGATGATGAGCAGGCCAGGAACTGAGGCAGATGTGGCTACTGAATCTCAGCCTCCCACCCTGCAGTCCACATTCTTCCCATTGTCCCAGTTGCTCCCAAAGTGATGTAAGTCAATAAATAATTAATGAAAATGATAATCTAGAATCTATCAACAAATACCAGAAGTGAATTAAATTTAAACATTTTTACTCTCCTTTAGGTTAAGTTGGAAAACTGGGTTAAACTCAGAAACGTTCTGAAATATTTTCAGGATCACAGGATGTATTTAACCACAGCCCTGCAGAATGGCTGCTGTGCTTATCTTCCTGGCAACACCCCACTGTCACTTACTGTTCCCATTTTCTACCAGTCCTTTTCAGTGTCTTCATTTCCTTCCACTAGAGTGAGTCATGCTCTGCAAAGAGAAATGGTGTCATCATCCAACTTGTCTGCAAGTCTCTTCACACCTTCAGAAGTCACAGAAAGCTGGCAAAGTCACCAAAGGCTAAATAGAAGCAAACTTAGGCTCCTTTTAAACTTAGATCAGGATTTCTCAACCTCAGTTTTACTGATATCTGGTGCCAGATAATTCTTGTTGTGGGTTGCTGTTCTGTGCAATTTGTGGTGTTCAGTAGCTTCCCTGATATCTACCTACTAGATGCCAGTAGCTGTCCGGCACACATTCATGACAATCAAAATGTCTCCAGACATTAACTAATGCCCTTTGCTGGGGTTATGCAACCCCCCTGCCCCAACAACCACTGATGTAGAAAAGAGATAACCCTATATATCATTGATTGTCATCATCAATTCCATTCCTAAGAAGAATACCACAAAATAGGAAAGGATTAGCTACACACTCTAGAAGATAACTGGGAGGTATGTAAAGAGCTACATCTCTCTCAGGAGAAGTGTGGTGTGTAAAATGTGCTTTTCCTTTAGAGATAAACACCTAGGTGATCCAGGAGTGGTTGTTCTCCAGCACGAGGGAGGATGGGCAGGCAGGCTCCTGTCTTACCCTTGCTGAGTCAAGCCACCTCTGTGGCTGGACAGACATATCCATCTCACCAAAGCACTAGGCAGAGGTTTCAGGAGTAAAGACCCACATTTTATACTGTAGATCATAGTCATCACTCAACATATATTTGTTGAATGAATGAATGAGTGGTCCCTCCAAATAGTACAGAAAATGAAGCTATTTCCTGAGGGCCCTGTTTACCCTGTAGGTAGTCTGCCTAGAAGATTTGCAAGTTTTCTGTGTGCAGCCTCAGCCCCAGGTCCCATCAGGCCCAAGAGAAGCCAGAATTAGCACTCAGCCCCTTGGTGTGAGGTCAGAATTGAGGGGCTGTGGATGGTGAATCTGGCTGGACATGCATGGGCCTCCTCCCAGACCGAGCTCTTCTTTTTCCTTTATAGAAAATCGGCCCATCATAAAGAGCCTGACGCTGCCAGCCCTGTCCCTGCCCATGAAGTTGGTAAGCCTGGAGGAAGCTCAGGCCCGCAACCTGGCTACTAACCATCCTGCCCGGAAGGAAAGGAGGGAGAACAGCCTGCCTGAGATTGTGCCTCCCATGGGCACCCTCTTCCACACTGTCCTGGAGCTACCAGACAACAAGCAAGTGCATTCTTTTAAAATTCTGGGGGATGCAGAGCGGAGGGAGAGAGAGGAGGAGAGGTAGTCTCGGGGTCTTGATGGAAGTGTGGGTTGGGGATGCCGTCTAGCGGGTGTGTAAAGAAAACTTGCAGAAGAGAAGGGAGCTGTCTCCACAGCGCACTCTTCCCAGTGGTGATGCCATCCATCACTCATTGTCTCAGACAATGACTGAGATCCCGGGTGACCCAAAAAGACCCCAAGCACCACGATGGAAGTGGGGTCGTAGGACGAGAGTCTTGTCATGTGTCAAGCTAAATCCTTTACTCCTTAGATAAAATAGGCTTGTGGTTACAAGAGGAAGTTTATTGAAAAGAAAAACTTGACCCCTCGGCCTGGTCTCCATACCCACATGACATTATAGGAGGCACAGAGGAAGAATCCAAGACAGAGGCCAAGTTGACAACTGAACAGCATGCCTGAGCTTTTCTGGGGAGAAACCCCTGTTTCCTTCAGTGAGTGGATCATGCCCTCCTGGAACTGAGCCCACTCACCTCTTCCTAAATCAGTGGGGAATGAGACTCCCTCCCCGGGATCAGGAAGATGAATGCCTTGGAAGGAACATTAAGTACATTTTCTCTGTCTTTCAGTCAAAGCTGGGGTAAACTCCAAAGAATGGCACCTATTAAAATACACCCCAAGGCCAAGTGCTTGGGGAAAAAAAAAAATAAGCCAAGTGTAGAACTACCCATCAACATTACAGACCTGTCTTGGATTATTATAAAGACATACTAAGGGTATGGTGGTACACAATTGTGATTCTACCTACTTGGGAGGTTGAGGCAGAAGAATCTCTAGTTCAAGGCCATCCTTAGCAATTTAGCAAGATCTGGTCTCAAAATAAAAAGAGTTGGGGATGTAGCTCAGTGTTAGAGCACTCCTGGGTTCAATCCCCCGAACCAGGGGTGGTGGGATGGAGGGATGGGATGGAAATTGGTATCTTTGAAGAGCCAGGGCTACACTCTTACCTGAGTTCCTATCAGAATTCAGAACTGTGTGGTTACTGATGACCTGAGTCTCCCAATCTGTGCCTCTGTTTTCTACCAACCCTGCCTCTAACTAATGGCTTTGTCTCTGGCCCTGGAAAAAAGGGTCTTTGCTCTGATTCATGAAAGCTTAGCTCAGTCACCGAGGGCATCTCCAGACTGTGTGAAAGTCAGGCTCAACTTGAATTTTAGAGGGGAATTTCCTAAAATATCAGAACCATTCACAACTAAGACGATTGAAATCTTTCTCAATTTGACAGTCTCCTTGAAATGACAAGTTAAATTAACTTCTTATGGCTTGACATTTTTAGGAGAAAGCTTTCCAGTAAATCAAAGAAGTGGAAATCTATATTTAACCTGGGACGTTCTGGATCAGACTCCAAATCAAAGCTGAGTAGAAATGGGAGTGTATTTGTGAGAGGACAGAGGCTCTCAGGTAAGAAAGGCCCTGAAAGAAAAACTTATAAATGAATCAGGGGGACCTTTTGTTAAAAAAAATATATATTTTTTTTCTGACTTAAAATAAATTGCACACAAAGAACCTATATATCCTCCATGCAGCTTCCTCCAGTACTAACATCTTACATAAATGTAATACAGTTATCAAAGCCAAGCACTAAGCTGCTTGTCTGAGGAGCCCAAAAGCAGCAGAGTTGGGATTCAAACCCTGATCTGTCTGAATGCAGAATGACCTCGATGGCTATAGTCCTGGGGCTCTGCTCAGCTTCTGACCCCCCACCTTTTTGTCTTAGCAAGATTTGACCTCAGAGAAACTACTTTCCATCCCGCTCAGCTCTCTAAAAAGAGATGATGTTTGGGAACATGTCTAGCTTAGTCTGTTTTCTGTTGCTATAGAAAAATACCTGAGACTGGGTGATTTATAAAGAACACAGTTCTTTATTTTGGCTCACTGTTTTAGAGGTTAGAAAGTCCAAGCATGGTGCTGGTATCTGCTTGACTTCTGGTGAAAGCTTCATTTTGCTTTACTCATGGTGGAAAGAGGAATGTAAGCAAGTGAGTGCAGAATAACTAAAAGGGGGACAAACTCTTGGAAATTGCTAATCCCTTCCTGGGAGAAAGGCATTGATTCATTCATGAGGGCACTGTCCCCATGACCTGGACACCTCCTACTAGGTCCCACCTCACAACACTGCTGTACTGAGGAATTAAGATTCTAACATATGAACTTGGGGCAGGGGGTGCACTCAAACCATAGCAATTACTATTACTGTGCCTGGAATAAGTTTTTATTCATTTAAGCCACACTTTTCCAAAACCCTGCTGTGGGAGCTTACAAAGATATGTAGAACACACCAGGTATATAACAGGTGCTCAAAGCAAGTTTGGTTTGGTTGAAATCTGTCCCAGCATGAGTTGGTGGGTGAGTTTGTTGGAGGAACAACCACGTTACAGACTTCAAGGAACAAATCTGCACCTGGGGAGAAAAGTGATGCTCGTTACCCACTTCCCACCCTGGCCCTCTCACCTGTTGTACCAAATTCCTGGGTGCTGATAGACTTGACTACAGCCAAGAATTCTGCTGCTAGCCTGCCAATTAGGAGGGGTTACCTGGGACCCATGGATACTATTTGTACAATTAAATTAGGTTCAGGACTCCTCATTTGCTAATAATTACTTGACAAAATTGCAAAATTTTCTTTTCTCTGTAAAATATTAATAAAATTTTGATTTATCAATGTTCCTTATTTGTAAGCCCAATTTAATTAAGAAAGTAGGAACTTCTAGAGTGAACCAGGAAAATGTTTTCTGAGGAGATAAACATAAAAGCTTGAAAAATTTTTCTAAAAGAATTTTTTTCTTATGTGCCTATAACCTGACCTACTGTTGTGAATGCTTCCTCTTAATATGCATTCCTCAGGAATATTTTTTCTTTTGTCTTTAGTAGAGAAGGCTACTATCCGACCAGCTAAAAGCATGGACTCGCTGTGTTCAGTGCCTGTGGAAGGTGAGTTTGTACACTTAGTTTCTAAGCTGGGGATCACAAATGGGAGATTGGAGCTCACCCCGGGCTTAAGTTGTCAGGCTGCTCCTCCGTGGTCGTGATCTCACAGAAGCACCCAGTCCCTCAAACTCAAGGGCTTCACCTGGCTCTTGCTGTAACATCCTCTACTCTATCACCCAGCTAGACCTAAAGAGCTTTCCTTTTTTCTCGAGACTCCTCTAGCCATAAGGGAGACCACAGGCACTTTTCATTCAAACCTGAATCAGATAAAGGGTCAATACCTGAAAAGTAAGGCAGAAGCAGCTCAGGCAGAAAGAAGAGCCAAATATTGATTGGTTCATGCCTCATGGCTTTACGCCTAGATGGTTGTCTTGAATTTGAGTATTTCTATAGGCATGAGTTTCATAATGCTTGCCAAGTCATGATTCTGAATTGGCAGAATCATTCATTCATTTATTATTTACCAGTAAACATGGAGCAAGTACCTGCTGTGCATCAGGTGTGTGCAGTTTGCACATGATTTCCTTTTTGCGCGTAGATATGTGGACAGTTACACATGAGGTGACATGCATCACCAAAATGACATGAAACCGTATGTGTTCTCACAGCTCTAGCCTTAAGGACTGATTTGCCTCTCTCCCTCTCCTCTATTTTTTTTTTAAAGGAAACAAACAAGCCCAATTACAAACTACAAGACAAAGGGCTTCCCTGGCAGCAGACTGCTCAACCTACTGTATATTTATCCCATGACTTTCCAATGACTTTAATGAAAGACATTTTTCTCTTTGATAAATGAGGCAACATGAGAATCAGGAAATACTCAAAACAGCTTTTTTTAAATATATTTTTTAGTTGTCAGTGGACCTTTATTTTTATTTATTTATTTACATGTGGTGCTGAGAATCAAACCCAGTGCCTCACACATGCCAAGCAAGCCCTCCACCACTGAGCCAAAACCCCAGCCCCATAAAACAGCTTAAAAAAAAAAAAATCTAAACCTGAAAATTCTCAGTGAGATCTTTTTAAATGGTGTTGACACTTTTAGCATTTTCTTTTGTTTATATTCATCAATTTGCTTTGGTTTTGAAACCTCTTAGGAAAGTTCTTGCAGGATTTAATATATCATCATCTGCTGCAATATGACGTACATGGGTGCTGGGCAGGTCATCTATCTTTTGAGTCGGTCTCCTCACATGTTAAAGGGAATGAATACATTTCCTTTACAGTGTGGTCATAAGAATTTTCAACATAAAATTATGCAAGATACTCAGCATTGTGCTTGTTATCAATTTAGAAATCATGTCCCAGAGCCCTGGAAACTCACATGTCATCTCAGCTTATTTAGTCCCCATGTGGACTTTCCTTTGCCTTCACTACTTAAGTCAGTCAAGAACTTGCTCCTCACAACTGTGCTTTCTAACATTTAGTTAATTTACATTTCTAGCTTCTCAGCCTCTGAATCAACAGGAAGAAGCCCAGGGAAAGGGGGAAAGGTTTAGCTGAGAACAGCATTGGTTTCCTTGCTGGGAAATCAAACCCCTGTCTGGGTCCATCTGCCAGAGAACACATGCAATAATAAGTTTGGAAGTTTTAAAATAAAACAAGATTGTTATTTTGCCCTTTTTTTGTCTTCTTCCTTTTGAGCAAACATCATTCTGCCACCCCCCATCTATTTTTTCCCCCACAATCTACATTTAATGTAACTGCTGCTTTGGAGACTGAGGGATGGACTTATTAAAATCAGAAACCAAATAGAAAAAACTGTTAAAATTTTAATGGCATAATAAAAAGAGCTAGTATGTCTTAAAAATTCTACATTTAGTGCTTGGTAGCAGTCTTAAAAATGGCCTGCTTATGGAAGCTGCTCTCCTTGCAGAGTTTGGAACAGAGAGTATAGCACAGTAGCAAATGGACCTTTCAAAGGATGGTGCCAAAATTCTGTGCATATGAGAAAATGCACGCCTATAATCCCAGCGGCTTGGGAGGCTGAGGCAGGAGGACTATGAGTTCAAGGCCAGCCTCAGCAACTTAGCAAGACCCTGTCTCAAAAAAAAAGGGGGGGGGGGAGTGACGGGGGATGTGGCTTAGTGGTTAAGCGCCCCTGGGTTCAATCCCCAGCACGTGGAGGAGAAGGGGAGCAGTGCTTGCTCCCTTTGCCAACTGAATGTCAGGTACTCAGTTTCATCCAGATAGTGTGCCCTTACTAGGTTGCTACACCTTTCCAGAACTCAACTGTAATGTGCCTGCTCTTACCGGAAGGCCTGAAGCGATGTGTGTACCCAGGCTGCTGACCACCTGCCTGTTCTTTTTCACTAGGAAAAGAAACCAAAGGAAATTTCAACCGAACAGTCACCACGGGTGGATTTTTCATTCCAGCCACGAAAATGCACTCCACCAGCACTGGCAGCTCCTGTGACCTCAGCAAGCAGGAGGGTGAATGGGGCCAGGAGGGGATGCCCGCGGGCGCGGAGGGGGGCTTTGATGTGAGCAGCGACCGAAGCCAACTTCAGTGCACTCAGATCCGTCCCCCACCGGAGCAACTGAAGGTGTTCCGGCCGATCGAGGACCCAGAGAGCGAGCAAATAGCCCCAAAGATGCTGGGTATGTTTTATACCTCGAGCGACAGCCCTAGCAAGTCCGTATTCACCAGCAGCCTCTTCCAGATGGAGCACTCGCCGCGTCACCAGCGCAAGGCGCTGAACATCTCCGAGCCCTTTGCGGTGTCCGTGCCGCTCCGAGTGTCCGCGGTAATCAGCACCAACAGCACCCCGTGCAGAACACCCCCAAAGGAGTTGCAGTCTCTCTCCAGCCTAGAAGAGTTTTCTTTCCAGGGGTCAGAGAGCGGAGGTTGGCCAGAAGAGGAGAAACCACTGGGAGCCGAGACTTCTACAGGTAAAACAGGGGAGAGAGGGAGATTTCCCGGGCAAGAGAGAAAAATTAAGTCTTGATTTTTTTTTTTTTTTTGAGTTTGCAAGGCAATGAGGTCAAGTGGTTGGGATTGTGAGCTCTAGAGCCAGACTGCCTAAATACAAATCCAGGCTCTGCCATTTCTCTGTGCCTTGGATTCTTAATGTGTAAAATGGGAATGATGATGTTAATAATTGTACCTTCTCTAGAAGAGTTGTAAATATGCATTAATACATGCCAAGTTCTTAGAACAGCAACTTCCCAATAAATGTTACTTATTATTTTATTTGCTCATAGTGAGAAGGCAGCAGGAAAAGATCACAGTATAGAATGCTGAGCTACAAAGCTGGAATTGGGGATTTAGCTCTCCCAGACTCATCCTCTCCTCATCCATCCATCCCTCATATCTATAGAAAACATGGCCAGCAAACCCAGCCTGAAGAAAAAGCATCTGTTCCTCAATTTCCTTATCTCAAATGCAGGGAGGATTCTGATTGGGTCTAGTTGAGTCACAGGCCCAACCTTGCACCAATCACTGTTGCTAGGTTAATAGGTTGTAAAATGGGCCAGATTTGAGTCTCCAGGCTGAATGGAGTAAGAACAGCCCAACTTGAGCCACCTGAAATGGAAGTAGAGGGAACCAGAAAGGAAAGGATGGCAGACAGTCAATCCGTCATGTGTTCTGTGACTTAAAAATGATTCTATTTCAGTTAACATTAGCTAACTTTTTTTAGCACCTACTGTGTGGTCAGCTGTTTTCTCTGGTATTCCACGTGTATCATCTCACATAGTCTCACAACAATCATTTTAGGTACAGGGAGTTAATATTCCCAATAGCTTAAAGAGGAATTAAGAGATTTTCCCAAAAACTCATAGCAAGGAAGTGGAAAAACTAGGATTTGAATCCAGATTTTTAAAAACAAATACTTCATGCTCTTTGGGACTCTCCATGCTCTCTCCATGCATGTTTATTGTGGGTTGTGGAGTTAAAGATCATTGAGACATGGTCCCTTTTCCCTCATGAGCTGAAAACTAGGAAGGGAAGCAAACTGCACTGAAGGATCAGCTGGTAGAAGCCACAGAAGAGTCTACTCCAGCTTCTTGAAGTGAGGAAGCGCTTAGGTACTTGAAATATAAAGAAGTGTTCAGGAAGGACTGCATGGGCACGAAGGAGATGCAGTCCTCTCAGGAGGGCTCCAGGGACATGTAGAAGAGGAGACATTTGCGCTAGGTGTTCGTAAATGGGTAGAATTTATCCATGCAGAAAAGATGAGAAAGGGCATTTGGGGCTGAGAGGCAACTGAATACTGTGGGATTGTGTAGGATTTGGACCCTAACTGGGCTGATTCAGATCCCAGCTTTACTGCATTTGGGCAGTGTGACAATGGCAGTTGGTTGATATCTCTGAACCTGTTGTACATCTGCAAAGCAGGGTGGCTCCAATCTCAAGGGTTGTGGCAAGGTCTGAATGAGAGTATGTCCATAAAATACCTGTCCATGGTGCAGTTCACAGAAGATGCTCAATAAGTATTAATCATCTTTTCCTCCCTTGCACTTCAGGATGGGGCACAGATGAGCAAAGACTCAGAGGCATCAAGTGATATCTTGTCTGGAAAATGGTCTATGGGCTGGTGTGGGTCAAGCAGGATGAGGGGGGAAAGGGAGGAAGACAGGGTTTCCAAAAACTTTTGTGAAATTGGTTATTGTCTTCAAAAAAGAGGGTACTGGGGTCCAATGGGTCTTTTGGACACAGTCTGCTATCTTTTTTCCCCCTCTCTTTCTGAAAATAAGAATATCAAATCAGCATTAGATTTGGTCTGGAGGAGATAGTAATGTAGACTCCAGCCTGCTTCCCTGCCTGTGACCAGTGGCAGTTGGGAATGAGCGACCCTATAGGAGGCAGCCAGGTAGGTCTGCAGGAAGATGCTAGAAGGTTCAGGGACAACAAATCCTCTCACCCGTCTCTGTGATGGAGTTAGGTCAATTTAAATTTCCCATCTTCTTCCATGATTATTCCCAATGAAAAATTTCAACTTCATTAGTAAAATATTTTTTCTTTCTTTTGATTAGTAACAGTGGGTAAAAAGGAAAAGAAAAATTAAAGATGATTTTCCAGGTTATTTTAGTCTTTCTTGTCAAGCTACCTCTCCTATTCTGAGCCAAAATAAGTGAAATTCTAATGATAAACCAAAAGGTAAGAGATATAATAAGTATTGCACTTTAGCTAAAGTGTTGATAATTAAGTAATTAATTACTCCAAGTGAAAAAACTCAAGGACTAATTAGTGTCTTCATAATAATTGATTATCTGACTTTTACATGATTCAAGGCTATGTCCTGTTAACCTCATTCTCAGCTGGGGGTAGGAGCCACAACAAACTTATCCTTCTGAAGTAAATGTGAAGCTATGGACTGGCTTAAAAGGTACAACAAACTCTCTACATCTTCTTCTAGAAATGCTCATTAGTGGAAGGTCAGAGTAACCATATGGCTTTAAGAAATCATGATAAACAAAAGTCCGGAATTTTCCTAAGAGCTATTAGGAGTTGCCTCATTCCTTTACTGAAGAACTTATAATAGAATCTTTTATATAGTTATATTTTGGTGCATCTGAAATATGATTCTACCTATGAACATTGGTTTTGCTGTATTCTTTCAACCAGGGGAAAGCTTCTATCATAAACCCATGGTTCTATCAGTTAAGATAGGCTAACGTAGAAGCCAGACATAGAAAACCTGAAACAATGGCTCAAAAAAGATAAGCAATTTGTTTCTATCATATGCACAGTTCCAGAGGTGGGTGGCTGTGCTCCTGGAGATCATGGGGGCGGGAGTCCCAGGCTCTCCACCAGTGCCCAAGAATGTTGTCCTTGTCTGCATTGGTCAGGATGGGACTATCACGGCAACATCCACATTCCCAGCATGGGATGGGGAGGAGAAGAGGAAGCCTAGCAACTTCCCCTCAAGGGTGTAACCCAGAAGTTCCACACATCACTTCCTCTCAACCCCATCTGCCCAAACTTACTCAACATAGTCAGGAGAAGCTGGGGAATGTTGTTACTGGCTGCATAGCCATGTGTCTAGCTGACATGTGGGCGGTGGGGAAGGTTCTAGTTCTAAATAAAAAAGAGAATGGATATTGAGGAAGGAGCAGTTCATAGTCTCTGCCTCTCTTGTCGCTATTTGGTGCATAATTTGTCCCCTGCTGGGAACCCTTTTGAGCTATGAAGAGTCTTTTGTAACTTTGAAATATCTGCCAAATTTGTCAGTCAACAACAATTTGTTGGACTCATAGGTCCTTAGTAGGCAATTTCTAGGCATAAATCCTGCCTCTTTTTTGAGAAACTTACCCTGGGATGAAAGCCAAGAACACTTGCAAAGATAATGGTGCCTGATGCCTGGGTACCACAGAGGTAAAAACACCCAGTGCTGGAGGAGGTGGAAGAAAAAAGAGATTGCCTGGGAATCCTCACAAGAGGTGTGTTAGATCTGTGTCTTGAAGGATTGCTTAAGTTCCAATCTCAGGGAGGACCAGAGCACAGGATTACAAGGCCTCTCAGGGGCAGTGATAGGAAAAGGGTGGGCATGTGATTGGCCCAGAGTAAAGAGGTCATTGTATGTCCTAATAGAGGCCCAGGGTTGTCAGTGGGTTGTCAGCAGGGAAGAGAGTGATATGAACAAGTTCACATTTAGCACAGGCCCTTTCTCCACACCTCACACACAAATCCATAAAAATGGTCAGAGTCAATGAACAGAAGACACTGAGCTTTACAAAAAGAGATATTGACAAACTCTTCCAATTAATAGACCTCAGTAGAATGCTAAAAATATCTTTTAAAAAATTACTGATGCATTTACCCTTTTACCCCAAAGACTTACTTTCAAGAGTTTATCCTAAATAAATAGCTGCACAAGTACAAAGTAATGTATGGGTGATGGCATAATTTGTCATGCTCTCAAAAGACTTGAAATGAGCTAGATGCCCATCATGAGGAGATCGATTGAATAACTGGTTGCATTGAGTTCTGGAGAGGCCCTAGGTTTGTGGACCCTGTAACATATTTCTTCAATGTTCTGTGCATCTGTGGGGGACAGGTCCTGGACACCAAAAGTGTCCCCCTCAAGTGTCTTCCTTGTGTTTCTAGTTTTCTGCCTTGGGACTTTTTCTGAAGGCAGGATCTCAGCCCTTGATTGGGACTGTCTAGAGTATGGAGAATCAACTGGGGCAGCTCTCAACTGATACAAGCCAGAAATCAGTAGATAAATTACCAATGCTTGCACCCTTTGGAGGGATAAACAGCTCCTCACAGGGGTATCAGGAATTCAGTCCCAACTGCTCATAATGGTAACCAGCTCAATGACATCATCTTTATTGACTTTTTCTCCATCCCTGTCTCATCTCTTCACTCCTTTTTCCTGGCACCACCTTCCAAGTAAGCTACCACTGGCCAAGGGGAGCCCAAACTAGGGCTCCCCTTGATGTATAGGGGAGCCCAAACTAGGGCTCCCCTTGATGTATAGGGGCTATACATCACATCCTAACAGTCAATCTCCCTGTATACTAATATGGCATGGACTTCAAGATAATTCATTACATGCAAAAATGCAAAGGAAAAATAGTACATACCATATTTTATGTAATAAGGGTGGGAAATGAAAATATTTATGGATACAAATATCTGTGCAAATGTAAAAAAAATAAATATGGCAGAAAAAAACCAAAAAGGAATAAAAATGGCCATACAGAAGGGATAGTGGGAATGTGGAACAGGATGGAAGGAACAGGAATGAAAGAAAAAAATTTTATATAGTTTTAATATTTGAACTCTGAATGTTTTACATACTTAGAGATTAGACTAAATTTCAAGAAATAAGCCTCTAAATGATACACAAAAGAAAACAGCACTAAGGTCAATTGAAAGCACTGTTAGTACACATATGGATGCTGTCACTAGGTCTGGCTTAGCTGCAAAGATGGCAAAATGGTGCCACACTTTGGAGTTAAGTCACCATATTAACAAATGATCATGAGTAGAGTTTGCTCTTAACTGACCAACTTTTCTACAGATACTGCATGTCAAACACTGCACTGCATTATCTATTAAACCCTCACATTGGCCCAGCAGAGTGTATCACAAAGCCCTTGGACCAAGATTGTAAAATTTATTGAGAAATTAGAATTTAAAACCAGGTTTCTTTAATTTTACTGTAAATAATAACACTTATTAAGGACTTACCGTGTGCTAAGTGCCACCCTAGGTGCATTGCTTAGTATTTATTCCACACCATTGGAATAAAAACAGTCTTCTGCAGTGAAATTGGTCCTTCTTTCATACAAGGCAACAGGGGCCAAATTTGAGGTCTGTCTCCCTTCTCCTTGTCTTAGGAGATCAGAGCTTCATAACTCGAATTACTATAGCTGTCAACCAGAGCTATTAGATCTCTATGCTGCTTGGAGTGAACAGCAGATTTTTGTGGTCTTGGGCACCCAGCTTGACTTCTCAGGGCTTGAGTATTTATTTGTGCAATAGAAGAATAGGCTCGAGCAGTGTTCCTCAACTTCAGCACCACTGACGTTTGCTCTGGGTGGTCTTTGTTGTAGGGGGCTATACATCAGAGGATATTTATTTAACAGCATCTTTGGCTTCACCTCTCCCGACATTGTAATAACCCAAAATGTCTCCAGATGTTGTCAGTGTCAGTAGAAGGCAGCAAGGAGAGGCGGGGAGGGGGATAAAATGGCTCCTGATTGAGAACTGCTGGACTAGATGATCTTTTGGGTCCTTCCCATCCCTAACAGTCTGTGTCTCTGGGACCTGAGGCCAGGACATTGTCAGGAGAAAAAAGAATGTACGTGGCAGTGAGCTGGGTGGATTCTCCCTGCCCTTACCCCATCTTGTGAAGCAGGCCAGGAAGCAGGGCGGTGGCTGTGCTTGGAGCAGCCTCTCTTGAAGTTCTTGAACTAATCACTCACATCCTCATTGCAGCTTCTATCACTAAGAAGGCAGCTCTGGAAGATACCCCACCAGGACCTGAAGGCCTGGGGACAGTGGAATGCAACCAAAGCCTTTCCCTGGAGCCAGGTACCCAAACGGAGGAGAAGAAGACCTCAGAAATCTCCCTGGGCTCTCAACATATAAGGGAATTAGAGAAGAGGATGAATCCGGAGAAGGCCGTTGAGGAAAGGCGAGAGGCTGAGGATGTGGAGACCAATGCTCTGCAGGAGTGCCCCGGGATCAGAACAGAAGCCATGTTTCTCCATGAGATGGTAAAGTGGGCGCACTGCCTCCTCACTACTCTATGTAGAGTCCTCTTTTTGCTGAGGACTCTTGGTACAATTTAAAGGAGATTTTTAAAAAATCTTTTTTTTTTTTTTTTTTTTTTGCCAAAGGAACTTTAAGAGACCCACTTCTAATCAGGCTTGGAATTTTTTTGCAGTGGACTTTTCAGAGATTCTGGAGTAATGGAAAGGAACCATCCAGCTCAGGTTTCCTAGAACAGACTCAATTCTAAATATCTCTGACCTGGGATTAACATAAACCAGTGACCTGTCACTGAAATATAATAGCATTCAATCCCAGAAGCAGCACAAAACCTGCTTGTCATATCCCAGACCCAAATAGAATGATAATTTACATGATCCAGCCCTCATCTCCCAGACAGCCTGCATGGGCTGTTCTCTAGGCTTTTTCTAAAATCTGAAGAGATTTCCAGGATCAATCCCTTCCTCCTGTGGCTTCTGGAGAAGTAAAAATATGATGTCAGAATTGACAGAACCTTGTTCACTTGGTAGAGGTGAAATTTTCCAAGCAGGTTTTTGTAAGATGTCCTTACATAAGAAGGAGCAAGGCTTCCTGAAATGCCCAGGGAAGAGTCCTGCATCTGGGAGGCATCTCTGTGAGCAAAGCAGTGTGCCAAAGGAGAAAAGGAAGCTCATTGCCTTTTAACTTGCTTCTAGGACATGCATAAGAGGACTATGTGCTGGAAGTCGGGGCAGAGCTGGGTGCTGTGGTGGCTTCAGGAAGCCTAAGTGAGGGTTCCTATAAGAGGTGTTGGCATTTGTTGAACGGGAAGGGTGAATGCGGATTGAATTCTTATTAGGAGGTCCCAAGTGTGAGTTGCTTTAAGAAGCAGATAAAGTTAGTACTGGAAGAACTAGGGTAAACTCAAGGGAACAAGTAAAGATGTATTAAACACCCAATTTGTGACAGGTGCTCTGCTGAGCACTGGAATAACTTCATGAACCAAACGGTCACTGCCTTCTTAGGGCTGACAGCCTAGTGGAGAAAGGTAATTTCCAGGGTGAAGTGGAAGTTTGAAGTGAAGTGGGGCATATGATACAAAGACCTAAGCTAGTCATAGGGGGAATGTCACCAGGGTGAGGGAGAGCTTCCCTGAAGAGTAGATATGTAGGTCGAGAACCTCACCTAGAAGAAAACGGTAGAGAGTGCAATAGGAAGGGAGAGACTTCCAGGCAGAAAGAGCAAGATATGTGGTGGATCTAGGGTGGGAGAGCCTGAAACATTCATGGAATTGGAACAAGGCCAGGATAGCTGGAGAAAGTAAAGCTCAAGTGGAAGCAGGAGCCACATTGGGCAGTACTGTGTGGAAGGGCTTGGGGATCAGCGTAAGGGCAATGGAAAAGTATATGATATGTTCCGAATTTTGTTCTTAATGGGTTAGTCTATTCTGTGAGGAGGAGACAGGCAAGAGAGAAGGCAGGGAAGTCAGTTATGAAGCTAGTATGTATGTGGCAAACCAAGCAAGGTTAGAAGGTGGCTAGATTGTGTGTGTGTGTGTTGGTGATGGGGGTGAGGGGTGGTATCTGGGGATAGAAGTGGAAGGAGTCCAAAGCTACTTGGGAGGTAGAATGACCAGGAATTGGTAAAGGATTGGATATGGAGTGAGGAGGAAGAAGAGACAAGACATCACCTAGGTTTTTGCTCTGGGGAAAAATTTCCATTGTGGTCCTTGTACTGAAATAGCAGAAAGTGGAGTACAGGGGAGTCTAAACTTATTGATTCCTTAGTAAGAGATTAATTAATGTAGGTGTTGAGGAAAGTAAAGAGATAAGAAAAAGGCCTGCCCTGCTCTGAAGAGATGCAGTTTAGTAGGGAAAATAGAACTATGCACAAATCATATAGAACAGTAGAGTCAGATTACTTTTGCCCAAATAAGAGTTATCTGAAAGAAATAACTCAAAACAATGAATCAATTTCAATGCAACAAAATCTTTATTGAGCAGCCACTCACAGTATATAAGGACCATTTGACCTTGAGGAATCAAACACCAATAAACACAATCCCTGACCTCAAGGAGCTCACAGTCCATTGGAAATAAAACAAGCATAAAAGGAACTGGCCTCTAAAACAGCATGTGATTGGAGCCAGGTGAGAAGGTATGCGGGGTGGCAGAGATCAGATTTCTCAGAAAGGCCTGCACCCCCACCGGATGGAGATGCTCCTTCTCCCCGGGACACAATTAGGCCCTGAGACAAGAAACTAAAGACACTGAAGTTTGTTTTCCTGGCCCTCCCTCCATCCTTTTTCTTTCTGCAGCTTTGGGTTTTATGTAGGGAAAGGGAGTTGAGAAGGACAAAGGGAAGCTGGACTTAAGGGGGAAACAAGGACAGTAAACAAGATGGCACAGGAGGCAGTCCAACAACCACAGGAAATACCCGGATCATGTTAACAGTGGGTGTCTGTGAATAGTAGGAATATGACATTTTGCTATTTTTGTATTCTTCTTTGTTTTAATATGTATTTAAAAGTCTTTTCGTGTGTAATATGTATTTCTTCAGTAATAAGCAAAAGAATTATGTATTTGGAAAGCAGGTGTCAGGGTAAGAATTAATATTTTCACTTTATTGGAAAAATTTCATTCTATCTTCTAGTAAATCTAAGGTTAAATGAGACCAGGTTTAAGGTTTTTATTTTGTTTTGTTTCCTTTAAAGCAACGGTACACAGGGATTAAACACTTCTGTTCTGGTGTAGGCAGTGCTGGATTTCAACCCTAGTCTGCTACTCTGTGATTTAGGGAAATTGCTTAATCTATTTGAACATAGGCCTCCTCATTTATGTAATGGGAATATAGTAGTGTTTATCTCCTATGGTTCTGGGAAAATTAAACAAGAAGATAAAAGTATTTTATGGCACACGGTAAGCAATCAAGCATCCGCAGTTATTACTGATTATGCATCTCTTATGTGCTGGGTAGCTCAGGCAGGGAACTGTCCCGTCCTTCACTATCACGGAAAACAAGGCAGATGACAATGCTCAGAGTCCTTAATTCTAAGGAAATAATAAGTTTCTTGATGTTTTTCAGGATGAAGATGATCTGGCTAATGCCCTGATATGGCCCGAGATTCAACAGGAGCTTAAAATCATTGAATCTGAGGAGGAACTTGCGTCATTGCCACCATCTGTTCAGAAGATAAGCCTAATTCTGCCCAGTTTTGAGTCAAGTCCAGGGCCCTTTGCTTCCCCAGAGCCTCCAGGGAGTGTCTCTCGTGCCTCCGCCCCCTCTCCAGTCTCCGCCCCCCAGGAGGAGGGGACTAAGGTCTCAACCAATCAGAGTACAATGGATGCTGCCACGGCAGCCAATAGAGATAAGCCAGAGTCAACCAGAGTCCACAGCTCCGAGTCTGGGCTGCGTCCTGACCGTGCTACTCTGGCTCCTCTAGAAATAATTCCTTTTGAGGAGCCATCTCCACCGGCAAGGACTGAGGCTGGACGCCCCGGGAATCTCTCTCCTCCGCTTCCTCCTGCTCCTCCCCCTCCAACTCCTCTGGAGGAGGCGCCTGGAATCCTGCTGTCAAAGGGCGGTGTTGAGAGAGAAGATCCATCCAGGAATTTGAGGACAAATCCTTATATAGAGCAGCCGGGGTCCAAAGATAGCCCTGGGATCTCTAGTCTCTGTCAGGGAGAGGAGGCCACTCCAAGACAAAGTGAAAAACAAACTTCAAAGAACGCTGCTCCGGAGGGGGAAGTCCTTGGTTTTCCAAGCCCAACAAAGGAGGTTGAGATCTCCCCACATGGAGAGGGGGATGTAGCCCAGTCAGTACAGGAGCCTTCAGACTGTGATGAAGATGACACTGTGACAGACATTGCTCAGCACGTCCTGGAGATGGTGGAGCCCTGGGAGGAGCCCCAGTGGGTGACAAGCCCTCTTCACTCTCCCACACTGAAAGAAGTGCAGGAGGCCCAGATGCAGGGCCCGCAGAGCCACCGATTGGAGAAGAGGCTTTCTCACAGGCCCAGCCTTCGCCAGAGCCACTCTCTGGATAGCAAAACTACCATTATGAGTCCGTGGACTCTTGAGGTCACCCCATCCAGCAGCTGTGCTAATCTTCAAACAGAGAGAAATTTTGATCCTCAGGCAGCCAGGAGAGAGATTACTAGATGGGATGAGAAAGCCCTGAAGAGCTTCAGAGAGTTCTCTGACCTGAAAGGGGAAGAGGTTCTTCCCAGCCAGAAGGGACCAGGTAGTGTTCAGTCTAAGCCAGCAGCAATCAGCCCAGTCACCCCAGTAGAGGGAAAGGAGCTGGGACCGCTTCTTGGGCAGAGCAACCAGATTAAGCAAGCTGGTGTTCCTGGGCTAGAAAATAGCAAGGAGAGTTCACCTAAGGTTCAGGATAGCACCTCACCTGGAGAAGACCTCCCAAAGTTACAGCTAAAGAGCACTGAGTGTAGCCCCTCAAAAGGGAAAAACCGGCCTTCTTCCCTCAACTTGGACTCTGCCATTCCCATTACTGACCTCTTCCGGCTTGAGAATGGGGCTTCATTTAGTTCACCTGGAATGCAGCTCTGTGAATCAGGAGACCCCAAGTTCACCTGGATGACCTCATCTCACTGTAAAGCAGACTCCTGGAAAGATTACTCCCAGGATACCCAGGACCTGGACCTTGTTGCTCATGCCCTGACAGGCCGCCGTAACTCAGCTCCCGTGAGTGTGTCAGCTGTGAGAACCTCCTTCATGGTCAAAATGTGTCAAGCCAGGGCAGTGCCAGTCATCCCACCCAAGATTCAGTATACACAGATCCCACAGCCCCTGCCATCTCAGAGCACAGGGGAGAGTGTAGCTCAGCCTCTGGAGAGGAGCCAAGAGGAATCCAGCTCAACTAGTGGGACCTCTCAGAAATCTGCCAAAGGTGATTCTCCCTCCTCCCTGGAAAGCCCAAGGGAAGAGAAACCAAAGCAAGATACAGGAGCCATAGCATCCTCACGGATGGATACCACTGCATCCTGCACTTGTGAGGGACCCACCCTTTCTCCAGAATCAGACTTATCTAATCTCCTCTCCACCCAGGATGCAGTAGTGCAATGCAGAAAGCGCACATCAGAGACAGAGCCATCTGGGGACAACCTTCTTTCTTCAAAAATAGAGCGGCCATCTGGGGGTTCTAAGCCTTTCCACAGGTCAAGGCCAGGAAGACCTCAGAGCCTAATCTTATTCAGTCCTCCTTTCCCCATCATGGACCACCTGCCTCCCTCATCCACAGTTACAGATTCCAAGGTCCTGCTGTCTCCTATCAGAAGTCCCACTCAGACAGTTTCCCCTGGCCTTCTTTGTGGGGAGTTGGCAGAAAACACATGGGTCACACCAGAAGGGGTTACACTTAGGAATAAAATGACCATCCCTAAGAATGGCCAAAGACTAGAGACCTCGACCAGCTGTTTTTACCAGCCCCAGCGGAGATCAGTAATTCTGGATGGAAGAAGTGGGAGGCAAATAGAATGATCAGTTCAGTTGCTGGTGTCTGAAAAAACATCATGATTCATCTGGAAATTATTACAGGGCCAACTTGCCATTTTCCAGCACAGATTATCTAACTTTGGACTTATTTTGGCCTCTAACTTCTCTTTTTTCAGCCTTTTGACTATTCACTAATTAATCCTTTGCCAGAAGAGTGTCAAGGAAAGGACCAAAAGGTGAAATTTAGATAAGTCTGTACGATCAAGTGGGAAAGCTTAGGTAAGGAATGAGGGAATTCTTGCTTCCAATGAAATTTGGGGTCTCTTATGTAAGCTGCATTACTCCCCTACTACCATTACCTATTACTGTTGAGAGCTGGCTATAGTAATTGTCTTTTGCAAAAAAGAAAAATCCTTTGCAGGTGTTGGAAAATGCTATTGAGATTTGAAGGCCTCCTCTTTATTTCATGCTTTTTACTGCTCTTTAAAGCATGTGTTCTTAAACCAGTTTTCTAATAAGCTTTGAAAAAGTGAACTATCCAAAATAGAAGCAGATTTGGAAATGCAAACTAATGTGCATTTAGATATCCAAGTGGGTAAACTCACCCATGCTCTTTCCCTGGAATCCCTGCAGATCTGTCCAAGATGACTCCATATACCAGCATAGAAAATCAGAATCTATAAGTCAGGAGCAAACCCTGAGACTGGCACAAACTACAGACTTTCTGGTGCATTTCATTTGGGACCCTACTTGCCACTGTTCTGAACTCTGATTTATAAATCCAGTAGCTGGCCAAGTGAGGACTGAGCTGAGGATTTTCTTAGTGAAATGAATCAAAATTTTCATGTATACAGTTGTGAAGTGAAGGTATCATCTTCCTTAACAATATCAGGGTGTAAGCACCCAATGTCATCATAGAGAAAAGCCCCACACAAAGCCTACACTGTGAACTTAATGTATTTAAGTTGGTGGGCAGGAAACACTTCCTGCTCAGCCTTACTCTTCTTCCACACTGGGCTGGGTCCAGCAGTACAGGAAGGGAGGCAAGGAGGGATCCTAGCAGAGTGGACATCACTACCACTCACTCCCCTCCTTGAAAATGTATTTCATTTTAGACAGTGGGTCCCTTCTTTTTCCCTCTCCCTATATTGTTCCAGATTTGAGGCATGTGTCTCCCTTCCATAATTCTCTTCAGCCACCATCTACCTAAGGCCCTCAAACTTGCTCTTCCTTCTATCTGGATGCAAGCAGAAGCAATAAACCAATCTGATTTTCTTTCAGTTGTTTGGAATGTTTTCATGGTTCTTTCCATTTCAGATGGAGGAAGGAGAACTAATATACATGCTGGCAGAATTTTGGTTCTCCCCTCCAAAAAAAGGCTTCACAGGGCACCCTTTCTCAGATTCAAGCCTCACTGAATTCTATCCAGAAGTTCAGTTATTGCAGACATTTCTCTGAAGGCTAGCAGTGCCTCTGGGCAGAACCCATAGCCAAGGCTACAGTTGGTCTGGGCTGGGGCTGAGTTGAATTCACCTTCTCCAATGAGAAACTGGAAGCTGATGCCTTGCCATTAATCGCTCTCTTTTCTCTCTCTCTCTCTCTCTCCCTCCCTCCCTCCCTCCCTCACCCTCTCCCTCTCCCTCTCCCCCTTCTCTCCCTGACAAATCTGAGAGTTTTGAAATCTTTCCTGTGCCTTTTAAGCCAGGTCTGTGGCAAGGGTAACTTTAAGTCAGCTGATGAGCTCTGCTTTCAGAGAATGCTGAGATGAGTGAGAAAAGAGAGCCATCAAAGGGGGCTTCAGTGAGTGCTTTTGCTTTCTCACTGGGTGAGCAAGACTTGGGACCAATAGTTAGTGAGATATCAACTTATAAGAAAAGTCCTAGAACATAGCATTTTACTCTAGGCAAGCAAGGTGAAGAAACATGGTGGCGAAAGATGAGAGAGGCCATGTCCCATAAATAAGAAAAGCACATTCCTACCTTATCAGGAAATATGGCAGATAAATTGTATCTGTTCCAGTGTACTTCTGGTGTCTATGCTTTGATAAGGACCAAATTCTAGGCATTGAGAGGGAAAGAATTGCACTTCACCAACCATCAGAACTCTGAGCCAAGTAATGAAATATTTAAACTACTTTATGGTTGGTTTAAATTTTTGTTTGTAATACTTACAGGATATATTTTTATTTGGGGATAGACTGAGAAGCCACCCTTTACATATTAACAATTGACTTTAATTGTAAAGGTTGAGGTGCCTATGTTAGATTTATAAAACGGCTGCCATGATCCTCTGACTGGCATTTCATTTATTGGATCACCTTCAGGTGCATGGGTATATGGACGTCACCCATGCAACACAACTGGCAGCTGTCTGGAGATATTCCCTACTGCAAGCTTGTCTAATCAGTTAATTCCAGAAGAGCTTGGAGGCGGACTTTCTGTGTCCTGCTGCTCAGGTGTAGACTCTCCTTAACTATCTCACATCCTGTCAAGGTCAGAAACATATTCATAAATTCCTGTGGGCTGGGCTAGCCTAGTGTTGATGAAATTCCATTTCATGGCAAAGAAAACTCATAATTTTTCTCCCAAAGGTTCCCAAAATGCCCTGGGATTACCTATTGGACCACCCACATGGGCTCTGAAAAATGAACTCCCTAAAAATGGCTGGTTGGGAATCAGATTGCCTGTTTCCGAGTAGGGGAGGGGCAGGGCAAGTACTGCTGTTTTCAGGAAGATCTGCCTGGTTCCCTGGAAAGGGCTACAGAATCAAACTCTTCAACTATCAATCCTCCAAGTGGGGGTGACTGATTTTAAATGTTGATTTTGAAATGAAATGCATGCATGTTTTCTTTCAGTATTAATGACTGCTTAAGAAAATAATGACCCATTTTTATTTGCAAAATGGCCCTTCCAGGCGGTGGTGGCGGTGCCTCCTGCTCCTGCTGCTGCTGCTGCTTCTTCTTCTTCTTCTTTTTTTTTTTTTTTGCCAAAGTGGACTAGAGAGAGGGAATATGGTTTTAATTCTCTGCTTCACTTGGAATATGAAGCAACCTGACCAAGAACCTCATCAAGACACTCTTAACCTAATCTAAGCCTTAAACTTCAAAATATTATCCAGGTCAAAATTCAGGATTTTGCAGACATTAAAACCATTAACTGCCAAACAAAGGCAAAAATGGGGGGAAATATAGCAACTAGCATATTTCAATAGGATTGTTAATCATATTCAAGTGACCTACTGATGTTACACAATTAAATTAAACATAATTGGGGCTGAGGATGTGGCTCAAGCGGTAGCGCGCTTGCCTGGCATGCGTGCGGCCTGGGTTCAATCCTCAGCACCACATACAAAGAAAGACGTTGTGTCCGCCGAAAACTAAAAAATAAATATTAAAATTCTCAAAAAATATATTTAAAAAAATAATAAATAAATAAATAAATTAAACATAATTGTAAATCCAGTAGACCATACCAGTGAGACAATGAGCTGTTGACAACTTTGCTTTGATTAAAAAAAATTAGAGAGTGGCCCAGACATAGTGACATGTGCCTGCAATCCCAGCAACTCAGGAGGTTAAGGCAGGAAGAGCACAAGTTTGAGGCCAGCTTGGCGAATTTAGCAAGATCCTGTTTCAAAAAATAAAAAGGGATGAGGATGTAGGTCAGTGTAGCTCAGGGATGTAGGGTGCCCCTAGGGTCAATCCCCAGTACTGCAAAAAAAAAAAAAAAAAAGAGTGAGAAAAAAATTAAGAGTGGCAAGCAACTGAGGTTTTCTTCTGGTCCTGATTGGTCTAGTTGTGAAGTTCTGTTGGATCTCTGCAAATAAGGTGAGATCCTTATTCCACACTTTTTAAGAAGAGATTTCAGAGACTTAATTCACTGCAAAGCAAGTTAACTCCTTCTGATCAAGTCAGAGGCCCAAGATAAACTGTTCGTAAGATTCATTTGTCTGGGATTGGAGTGAGAGAAGTTCACAGTAGGTTCAATTCCCACTAGAATTAATTAGAACCACATCCTATCATGGCTGCTCCTATCTGATAACATAATCTTGGAGTTTAAATGTTGCCAAGAGTATGATTTTAGGCACTTGGAGGCCAGCTCAAAATGTGGAATGACAAACAATGTGTCCTCTTTTACCCGTACCTTTCTTAGCAAAATAAGGCCAGAAGAGGGAGTAAATGCCTGTGCAGGCATGGAGAGCAGGGGAGAGGGGAGAAGCCAGATAGAACAAACCCGGGAGCCACACTGGTCGACTGGCACAGAGTAGATCATTTAGTAGCCTTGAAGTATGTGAGCAACGCAGGGCTGACTTCTCCAACTCAGTGAAGAAGGACACAGCTAAATGGAAGAAGTTCACCAAGTCCATCTCCATGTTTCACTGGACGAATCACATTGCTTTGCATTAACTTAATGCCATAGTACTTTCTGGCTTATAATTCTGCAAAGTAAAGCACTTTTCCAAAGGAGTCCATTAGAAAGCTACATGAGCGCAGCTGTTTTTTGAGCTCTACAAATGTTTCCAAAGATATAATCAAAATGTGTTTCTATTCATTAAAAAGTATAAATATTAAACCTATTCATAGACTTTTAAGTGTAATTAAAAGTTTTGTTATGCTTTAAAATGTACTCTAATAAATGATATAATGCTTATGATGGAACTATGAGCTAGAGGAAGACCTGGGTCACCAAAAATTAATAATCAGAAAAGTATATTCTACCCATCAGACTCATTGTTCCAATTTGTTGTGTTTGATGTCATTTTTTGTTATTTCAAGGTCTGGTCTTAACAGCCAAAGTCCTGATGAGTTGCTTCAGTAGATTTTTCTTGTTTTTACTATTTTAATTTAATAATTATCAAATGTTTACAATTTCACACTCTTACTCTTGCGTTCACAGTCACATCACCCAAATACCCAATACAGTTGATGGTATAATGAAAGATAGAAGCAGAAAAGCTTATTGCTTCTCAAAACTTCAGAGTTTAAAGAGTCACATGGGTCATGGCACAGACATGAACTCAATTTTCCTATTACTTGAATAAGTCAAGGAGGACTATTCTTTTATTTGAATAATGTTAATGATGCTTAGGGGACAGGAAGCAAGTATGTTCTCTTAGCATATGTTGTCACAGAAAAGGTGGTATTCAGGGAGCAGGGAGAATAATCACACAACCTAGTTTCTTCACTGAATGTCAGTGCCACTTCCTGGTCTTCAATAAAACTCTTTGAGGACACTTCTTTCCCTGCACAAAAGGCTACATTTTCCACATCAACAAACTAATACAAATGTTTGGAAGTTCACCCAATTTCTCACTATTGCTTCTGCACCTTTGCTTCTTCCCATCTCATACAAACGTGTTACCAAATTTATGGATCCACCTATTTTTACTTTTACATTCTTTGTGGCCATGATGCAGTCCATGTTCTAGCTTTCTCAATCTTTTTTTTTAATCGAATTTTTAAAAAATATTTTAAAGTTGTTGATGAACCTTTATCTTATTTATTTGTATGTGGTGCTGAGAATTGAACCCAGTGCCTCATGCATGCCAGGCAAGTGCTCTATCACTGAGCCACGACCCAGCCCCCTAGCTTTCTCAATCTTTAATACCAGACTCCCCTTTTCCTTCTACCTTGTATCCCACCATCATCCTGGATGACTTCGATGTACTAAAGAAAAACCCACTTAATACCCTTGCTACAGAGGAGGAGCAGCGACCTGCTGAGAGGCAGAGCCGCCCCCTCCCCCTGCGCCGGCAAAGTAGAGGGAACTGTGACCACGCACAGAGCAGGCCCAGCGGCCTGCTGAGGGGCAGAGCCGCCCCCCACCCCCCGCGCCTGCCAGGTAGGGGAACTGTGACCACGGACAGAAAAGGCCCAGTGGCCCGCGGCGGGACAGAGCTTCCAATCACTCCTGCAAGGTAGGCGGGCCTGCGACCCACCTGCAGAGGAGGAGCAGCGACCTGCTGAGAGGCAGAGTCGCCCCCTCCCCCTGCGCCGGCAAAGTAGAGGGAACTGTGACCACGCACAGAGCAGGCCCAGCGGCTTGCTGAGGGGCAGAGCCACCCCCCATCCCCCGCCCCTGCCAGGTGACCACCGACAGAAAAGGCCGAGTGTCCCGCGGCAGGACAGAGCTTCCAATCACTCCTGCAAGGTAGGCGGGCCTGCGACCCACTGGCAGAAGAGGAGCAGCGACCTGCTGAGAGGCAGAGCCTCCCCCTCCCCCTGCACCGGCAAGGTAGAGGGAACTGTGACCACGCACAGAGCAGGCCCAGCGGCCTGCTG